ATTCTTATTGTTTTTTTAGGCTCCCTGAAAAGTACAGGAAAACCCCATCCAGGCTATGGCTACCAGATAGAAACTGCATAGAAACTTTGTTTTTCCTGATATTTGCTGAACTGTTTGAGATGTTGAGCCAAGGAAAGTCTTACTCTGTTTATTCTTGCTCACTGCGGCTTTATTGACATCTGTAGAATAAACGCGCAATGAGGATGAGAAGGAAACTGGTAGTGAAAAATGTGCACAGGGACAACTCAAAGACTCTCTGTGTTATCAGCGTGAAGGCACTTCAGGTTTCAGCACATGAAAGGTGATCTCACTTCACTCGAGTATTTGGCAGGGCCTGATTTGGCTAATGATCAGCTCGAGGCTTTATAACAGTAATAGCAAAGTCATCATAATTTAAATCAGCATGACAGAGTTCCTCTTTCATACCTCTACGCCGTTTTGTTTTTTACTGTAAAATGAAGCAAATGCTTTCTAATTAACAGCAGATGAAAACCATGCCATGTTTCAGTACACAACACACTCACATGACAACAAATAAAAAGTGTTTGTGTGTGTTGGTGTGTTGTTGACTTGACTTCCAATCATCAAATCTATTTCCTTCATGTAGATTTGACTGAACGGCCTGTTGAGACCAGCAGTATGTTATAGATGATTTTTTTATATGTTTCAATGTAGTTTTATCAGGAGTGTTAATTATTATGCAATAATTCAGTATAAGTTTTCTCTTCTCAACTCATGTATGGGTCGACACTGAATACTGCTTCCAGCAGCACGTCTGCAAAAATAAAAACATTTGAAGTGCTCTGGGTTTCGTTTTCGACAAAAACTGAAGAGAGTGCATTCCTATTAAAGCCTTAATTAAAGAGAAAATACAAACTCATCTTACCTCCATCTTTGGGCTCAGGGAGCTCCTCCACCTTCAGCCCAAAGTTGCTTTTCTTTGGGAAGTTGTCAAAGTGCTGAGTCATGACCCACGACTTTCCTTGAGTCATGATGATTCGTTTTTATGACAGCTGTAAATAAATGTTGCCTTTCACTGTTATCAACCTCATAGTAACAGATATGAAAGTGGTGAGTCATCCAATGCTGTGCAAAAAAACTGAAGCTAAATATTTATTAAATGTTTATTTGTGGTGTTCATGAATACATGATCCTGATGTCACCTGTTAAATTATAGCTATATACTTTTACTCTGATTCTACAGGTTCCCTTTAGGTTGCAGGTTCAATATAAGAACAGTAATTCAAAAGTAAAGCTGATATAACTAAAATGTTCACAAATCAAGAGATTCATATCAAAATTGCCACAGATGTGTGTTTGATAAAACTTAATTAAGATTTACATGTAAATTCACTCTAATTATTTTCTAAAGCATTGGTGTCTTGTTTTACTTGGTATAGTTTTACATTTTATTTGTAATTTTTTATGTTCTTTATACATTTTTAATCACTATTTTGTCATTATTATGTAATAATGTCACAGTCGGTGTCACTCACGGGGATCATTTTGTGTGGTAGAAATGTCATATGGCACATTCAGCGCCCCCTTTGAGCCTGATAAGGCAAAGAAAGCCTGGCTGTGCTGCACTTCCTTAGTAGTACACTTATCTGGGCTATGTGTGCATTCATGTGTTATATCAAACAGTACATTTGATTAGCAGCACATGGCTGCTGCTTACTCTTATTATTCCTACGGAAGCAGAAAGGATGTACTTAGTCTTTTATTATAGTTGTTGTTAATGAATGGCTTGATATGTGTTGTTGCTTATTCAAGTCTGTATGTAAGTAATGACCTTATAACAATCTAATGATTTTTTATTATGTGCTAATGCATGAAACCTGAACGAGGGTGTATTTTCTTTATATGATGACAGTATAAAAAATGGAAGTCATGCAAAGCTTCATTAGGACACCATCATCTCTTTGCAGGCATTAAGAGATGCAAAATAAGGCCACGCTAACATGGGTTTCACATTTTCAACATGGGTAACAAAACAAATTTACATTTAGAAAACTTTTATCTACAGATATTAAAACTTTACATGAAATATCTTGAGGTTTGATTACAAGCTTGCCTTTTTCTAACTGAAGTATTTAATCTCAAAAATCAAAGATAGACATTTTTCAAAGTTCAAAGTGTTATTATCCAAAGTAAATCAACAAATGTTTCGCCTTTGTTACCCGGCTGGGTAACAAACTGTACAGCATATTAAAGCACATGTCTTTATCTTTGTTGGCCAGGTGCTGTTAGATAGTGTGCAATATTTTCAGCCAATCATATCCAGCAATAAAAGCTTGTGTCCCGCCCTTTCTCCTCATAACTGTTCACATTCCTGCCTCTCCTCACTTCCACCCACTCCACAGCTTCCAGCATTTCTCTGTGAAGAAAGGCGAGCGGTAAGTCACACAGAGGAGAGAGAGCTGTTTGTTTCTGAACTGCATCAAGTGTGATTTTACTGGAGGAGGTAACTCTGAGGCTGAGCAGCAAACATCAGCAGGGGGTCGATGTTACCCCTTTAAAGCCTTTGCATAAAGTGTTATCTTGCTACTGACCATAAAATATGAGATACTCCACTACAGTGGTAGTTGTGTATGAACAGTTAGATTGTATTTGTCACGGGCGAGGTCGCCTCAAAAGAGAAAGGACTCAAATGCTGGGCGCAGAGCAGCACATAGAAAGTTTCAGTGACAACGTTTATTTTCTCAGCAAGTGCACACAGTCAGAAAACTGAAACGTGAGTTTAACAAGTACTAGAAGCAACGCCTAAACCTAAGGGGTTTATGCAGCCTGAGCTAAGTAAACAATCTGGTCGCTCGTCAGTGAAAACTGCTGTTCCGAGGATTGGGCTGAAGGGAGAGTCAAACTGGTTGGCTGGGTCCGGGGAAAGGGTCAGAGTCACTGAAATTAGAGTACAGACATTCAGGTATGGTTTGGGCAAGTTGTTTGTTCTGAATTTTCCTTTGCACTGCTTACTTGCCGTGGGTGGTCAGTAGTGGCGTGGAGGGGTGAGTGGTCTGGGTGAGTGGTCCGAAATCTGAAATCCCTGGCGTTGAGGCAGGGAGGCAGGCAGGTGCATGGGGCGAGAAACCCGTGAGACTGTCAGGAGGTCCAGATGGGTGTTCTACAGCGGAGATTCGTGTCTGGCAACTTGGTGCGTGGCTATGAAAGAGAGATACAGAATGAGACAAGATAGTTTGCAAGTCGTGTACAAAATCACAGCAGTGGCCTGCACTAACTAGGGTTAGCCGACAATCCAGCCTTATGAGTCCTTGGCTTAGTTACCCACAGGTGCGAGCAATAAGCAGAACACAGTGGCTCCTCCCAGGGGTGGAGATGCCGACTCGAAGGGAGAAACACTGGCACCCACCCAGACCATGACAGTATTGTGTTTCAATGTGTTTAGAGGTTCACTGATATTCTCATAAAGTCTGAAAAACAGAATCACTGAACTTGATTCTATGTGAATACTTGTATGTAGACCAGTACTTTTATAGTAATACTTTTACTCTGATCACTCTAATCACTTGTGTGTAAATATGTAAATGTGTGTGTGTTTGAGCACGATGAGGATTTCTGCATTTCGTTGGAATTGTTCTTTTAATCACAGCTTGGAAACTGAGCCTAAGGGCAGCCTACGCTGTCATTGTTACACTTTATAGTTAACCGATGATGTCATGAAAAATTAAAATGATTTGTGCTGTTTGATGCTCACCACAGCTAAACGTCACAGAGTGAACGTCACACTTCAGGTTTTATTCAGCTCTATTTTGCACAGCGCTGGATGACTCAGCACTTTCATGTCTGTTGATAACAGTGACGGGCAATATTTCTTTACAGCGGCCATAAAAAAGAAGAATCATGGTGAAAGCTAAGTCATGGGTAATGACTCAGCACTTTGACGGCTTCCCAAAGAAAAGCGACTTTGGGCTGAAGGTGGAGGAGCTCCCTGAGCCCAAAGATGGAGGTACGTCTTTCTTCTTTCTCTCTACAGGAGAGCACCTTCTTCAGTTTTTGTCAAACATTAAGCATCGAGCACTTTAAATGAGTTTAGTTTTGTTTGCAGAGGTGCTGTTGGAAGCTGTGTTTCTCAGTGTCGACCCGTACATGAGGTGATCAGAGAGCAGCATCACTCATTACTGAACTGTTTTAATGCTCCTGATAGAAATACATATTGTAACACACCGCTGGTCTCAACAGGTCGTTCAGCAAAACCCACATGAAGGAGGGAGATGTGATGATCGGAGGTCAGGTGGCCAAGTAAGAAACACAAACACACCTGCACACAGAAAACTTACATGATGTGCTGTGATGTGTACGTTTACTGACACAGGACGCAGTGTTGAGTTATCCCAGTGACAGCACAGACTATTTTGTTTTAATATTGTGTTGTTGTTTTCCTTTAGAGTGATCCAGAGTAAAAATCCAGCGTTTCCTGTGGGAAGCCACGTTGTGAGTGACAGTGGGTGGAGAACCCACACACTCAGTGATGGGACCGGCCTCACTCCCATCCTGTCTGAGTGGCCTAAAGATGTGTCCCTGTCTCTGGCTCTGGGTGCCATCGGGATGCCCGGGTAAGACAGATTTAAGTAACCTGCATGGATCATAGTCACTTTCTATTGGATGTTAAATCGTGGCAGGATGTTCTGACTTTTCCAGCAGATAGATCGATGTGAAGTTTTATCAGCTGAATCTTAAATGTAAACTAAACCATCTGAGACATTCATATCAGTGATGTAAGATTTTATTTATAGGTGTTTGTAAGGTGTTTAAGAGGTCAGCTAAACGTGCTAATAGACAACAGTAATGAGCAGAAAATAGTCACTTATATTCTTACAATAAAACTAACTTCAGCTGTTTTGCTAATGAGCTGAAGCAGAGTTTGTAAGCAGTGATTTTTGTGGATATAATTAATATGGCAATCAAAGAGGCAACAGCTGGATTCACTGTTTCTGTCTCTCTGCAGACTGACGGCTGTTTATGGGATAGAAGACGTGTTGGGTCTAAAGGAGGGTGAGACCCTGCTGGTGAACGCTGCAGCTGGAGCGGTGGGCTCCGTGGTGGGACAGATCGCCAAGATCAAGGGCTGTAAGGTGGTGGGCTCGGCAGGCTCTGATGCCAAAGTGGCTTACCTCAAAGAGCTGGGATTTGATGAGGTCTTCAACTACAAAACTGTGGGTTCCCTGGAGGAGGCTCTGAGGAAGGCTTCACCTGAAGGATACGATTGCTTCTTTGAGAACGTGAGCAGTGGTGGTGCAGTTTCTAGCTTGCATGTAATATTTAATCACTGCTGTGCTCTTCTCTTGCATTCACACTGCATTCCTCACAGCACGTTACAATGTGTGTAAGACCCTGCTGCTTTGTTTTAGGTGGGAGGCCCTTCATCAGATGTCGTCCTGCAGCAAATGAAGAAATTTGGAAGAATAGCTGTGTGTGGAAGCATCTCCACCTACAATGACAGTGAACCCCAGACAGGTTTGTTACTGCTATAACTTACTTTTTATTTTAAAAACTCCAGAGAGTTTTGTTCCTGCTAGGGAACAACCAGGGTTAGTGCACAGACAGAAAAATAATAATACTTTGCATATTGCAAATACCAATCAGATTTAATTAATAAACTTACAGACGGATTCACAGGAGACAACTGATTGAAACTTACTTTAAACCCCATGAGGCACCAGTCTGGTATAAACACAGTCTTCTAAGGATTTACAGACGAATCCTAAGATTACAGCTTACAGCTCTTCTTCCGTAGAGCTTTTTCCACTAAAACAGCTATTTTTAAAATCTGCAATGAAGTTTTGATGCATAGTGTTGGAGGTTATTATTATTCCGTTTTTTGATGCTGCACCTGACACCTCTGTCTTTCATACTGTACCATACCATCGTCATCATGCTTGACAGGCTGGCTGTATCTGGATCTGCTTCAGAGTGGTTCTTGTCATGTCTTTCTAAAAGATGTATTTTTGTGGCTTCTTTGAAGTTCATGTCCTCTTCCACCTCTCGGGTCTATGGTGTGACATACGGCCTTTATTGTTTATATCATCTCTGCTCCCTCTTTAACACGTTTTCAACACTTTTAGGGTGTTATGCTATGCAGATGACAGTCAGCTGTATATCTTCTCTAAGCTCCAAGATATTTCTGAGTTACAGATATAGCAAAAGTTCTTGGATGGTAGACAATTTCCTCCAACCTAATGAAGAGAAAACAGAAGTCCTTGTTTGTGTCCTTGATAGATTTATGCCTGAGGTAATGGAAGCTCTTGGTCCCCTTCAGGAACTTTGTTACAGCCTACTCAGCCTTTACTTTGGATGCTCATGTTAAATTTAACTCTTGAATGAATAAATAATGGATGAGGGCGTGCTGTCTGTGCATCGTTTAGGGTTCAAACTAAAAAAGCCGAAGCTTTTGCAACAGTTTCTCCCAGACTCTGGTTTAAATGGCATTTTTATGATGAAGCATATTGTTATAATTTTCTTAAAGGTGTTTTATAGATGAAGTTTTACTCACACTTTGTGAGTCAGGTCTCTCCATCAGCTGCTCAGGTGGGGTCAGTGTACTTGGAACGACAGATGTCCAACAGCAATGTCCACACATCACTGATGTCCTTGGAAGTTTTCTCTCTGCCCCCCTCTCAGACATTTTTAAAGTCGCTCATGGTAATGTCCAAGAATCAGATTAAATTTTTGGATGTCCTTCCTCTGTGTCCATGCTAGTTCTGACCCACAATGCAACGGTTCTGCCTTCAGCTAAATTCTGGTCATGTGACCGTTACACTGTACCTCAAACAAACTTTACAGAAAGATAGCTCATTTACACAGCCTTTAAAAAATTATAATTATATTTATTGTATATAATTATAAAATATTATATAACAATATTTTATAATCACATATTTTAGACAATTTAAAAAAAATCTCATTAAAATAATTTTAATCAATTTCAGCAAATAAATTAAATACACACAAATCTATGACAGAAACATATAAAATAAACCCCTTTTTTAAACGGTCTCTGGCACACTTACAGTTCCCAGTCAACATTTAGCTTGATTCTTACTGGACAACTGGGGTGTTCAAAGCTTTCATTACCAAACTGTATGAATTCATTTGAATTACAGGTGTAAAGGTATGTAGATGGTATTAGACTGAAGGGGAACAGTGACCTTTCTGGAGGGGGCCTGGACCCCAAAGGCCCACAAATATCACTGCGAAGAACACAAAATGCATTTAATACACCACCAACAACTTCTTCTGTATTCATGTGTTGTTTCCACTAGAGGGAGAAGCTGCACTGCTAAAGATCCACAAGTGCTGTGGAGGCACACAGATGGTTATTGTAGACATGAACTGTAGTTTCTGTGAGTGAAAGATGGGTTAAATTTTTCTCTTGAACGACCTGTGTTTTAGGTCCGTATCCCTACTTCACCATGATCTTTAAGGAGCTGAAGATGGAGGGATTTTTGCAAAGTAGGTGGGAGCACAAGCACCCTGAGACCCTCAAGAGACTGTTAGCGTGGGTGAAAGAGGTTAGTGTGAGCCTTTCCTTTAAGTAAAGATGTAAACATCAGTTACCTGTGTTTCTGTTTTGATGTATTGTATTTGTGATCTGTGTATGTGTGTGCACAGGGCAAACTGCAGTGTCGGGAGCACGTCACAAAAGGCTTTGATAACATGCCGGCTGCTTTTATGGGGATGCTGCAGGGAGAAAACACCGGCAAGGCCGTCGTCGCAGTCTGAAGAGTTCAATGCAAGAGAGCCAGCATTACTAATAACTGCCATTATTACACAATCTATCAATTAATGAAGCAATAAACATAGAACAAAATAATTTCACATTAACATTTCAGCTCTTTGAGTAGTTTTGTAATCACAGAGTTTTGCCTGTGATTGATAGTTGTGTCTTTTGTCATGTTGACAACTTGACATCTGACAACATCAGCATCAGTTTGCTTAAGTTGTACGTTTTGGTGACTTACTTAACAACACGACCACCAATAAATAAAAGAAGAGATGATAATTCCAGACTCAGGGTTCTTATCCTGTCATTTCAGCGAGTATCTGTGTGTGCAGTGCAGATCTGTTCTGCTGTATTAATGCCCTGTTCACAGTGACATGATCAAAGTTCTTTGTATGCACAGGGAGCGAATAATAAAACATTTTAATTTCGATTGAATCAACATGATGTGTGGTGGGCTTCATCTTTGAGACTGCGGATAGCTGTAAATCTGAGGTGAATGTAATAATTATATGTGCTGCTTTTAAGGGCCTGCCTGGTCGACGGGATTCAAGTTGCGCACTAACACTTAACATCTGCTACCAATTTTAGCCTTTTGTCAAGGCTTCGGTGAAGTTTAGCTCCATGGTTACACAATCCCTTTCATCCATTTAATCTCCAGGAGAGTCTATGTTCCTACACTCTGCTTCTATGAAACTCCCTAATAGGTGTATGAAAATGTGTGTGACCGGCTGAACGAAGCCTGTAGAAAGCGCTTGGAGTGCTCAGCTAAGTAGAACGCTCTATATACTCTAAGTACCAATACATTTGCGCTTTAGCTCATTAAACACTCTTATTGTGTAAAATAAATACAGAGACTTCCGCTTTGACCGGGACTACTGACGGGTAACTTTAGTGTTTAAACGCGTGGGGCGTCTGCTGGCACTTTGTTCTGTCCGAGGCACGTTCATCAGCTGGTATCATGGTTCACGAAGTGAAATATCTGGTAAGTTTGTCTTTTTTGCTGTTTTCTGTGCCTCTCTCCTTTATATGGTGAGAGGCGCATTCCTAATAAGTGAATGGATGTTTTTACGCTCCACTGTTTTGTGTCGGAGCAGCCGCGCGCAGGTGTGCCAAAACGTGATCGTCTACCAAAAAGGGATTATCCGTATTTAAACTGCTGTAAATGACTTGTTGGCCTGCAAAATGTGAAATATATGTCAAAGATATCCATGAATGATATAAATTCATCTTGAGCTACAAACAACCTTCCAGTCACGCGTTAGAAGCCGCAATCCGTCTCTGGTGAAGTGGCATCCTTTATTTATCCAGTTAAAAGTTCTCACTGATATTAAAAATGTCTTTTTAAAGAAAGATCTGGACAAGAGGGCAGCAGAAATCGCAACAAATATACCAATAGTTATATAAAGAAGTTTTTAATTGGCCAAAAGGAAATATACACGAAAAACTGATTTTACATATAGCACTTTAATAACCTGTTCACAAGTCTATTCATCAATATAAGTCAATACGTTACACATAAACCCTCGCCCCATCGAAACATTAGAAATCACATTTTGGGAGACAATCGGTTCTTCACACAACACCTGTGCTCCACACGCGGCCATAAGTGTACGCGTTGTTTACGTAAATTTCCAGGAAAGGCAGGCAGTCTTCCCGAACCTCGTTGTAACTGATTGTATTGCATTTGTACGGAAATAAACTTTACAAAGGTCAGCGGATCACAGCATCACCAGATCAGTGACTCTTACATGCAGCCATCAAAGGCCATCCTGAGCAGGGAATCCCTCGGTTAGCAGGGCTGGATTAGTAACCTGGCATCCCGCCCCACAAAGCACCGGCAACTGCCCATTCATTAATTTTCATCACTAACACTGGATTGCACAATCAAAACTCCTAATGCAATCGGGGCTTTCCCTGCCTTCCCTGCGCGCTCACGCAGCTTGCAGAACAGAATTTAGCGTGGAAGAAGTGGCTGATACAAGTGGACAAACAAAACTTGTAGGATGGAGCTGAAAAGGTGAGAGAGAGAAAGAAATTAGAAATAGATGCAGCAAAACGTGTCAAATGAACCGACATGTGAACTGTCGTGGCTGCAGCTGCACCGTCAACAGTAGCACCAGCAACAAGTATGAACAAGCCCTCAGAGTCAGAAGAGGCTGCTGCTGTTAGCTCTGTTGCAGTTCATTTGAGCATGTTTCAGTCTCTACCACTTACCCATCCAAAAAATCATGTCTTTTCTATTTCTCTCTGTAGGATGAGTTCCAGAAAATTCTGAATGAAGCTGGAGACAAGCTGGTGGTGGTGGACTTCACAGCCGAGTGGTGTGGCCCCTGCCAAATGATGGCCCCAATTTTTGTTGTATGTGATGTTAAATCTAAAATCACCATATTTATTTATTGTTTTAGCTTATTGCCTCATGAGCTTTTGCATGTCCAAAATTCACGAGAATCTCAAGTTTCATTCTGTCCCTCACACATTACAATAACTTTAGTCAGAGTAACCTATAGTACTGATGCTCTAGCCCCCCCATTTGACATTATGCAGAGCTTCATTGTGATCCCCATGCAACTGCAGCAATGTGACAATTAAATAAGAGAGCCTATTCACAAGGATGAAAACTCTTGTGATGTCGCAGCAGATGTAGTGTGCGTGCTCTCGTGTCGACTCAGTGATCTTCCCTCCTGCAGGAGATGTCACAGGAGCCTGTCAACACAAACGTGATTTTCCTGAAGGTGGACGCGACTGATGGCAGGGTAAGCCCATGTTTGACTTGGAAGCCTGGAGAAGCAGTAGGATTACTTCATCTGCTGCTGAACCCACTTTAGCTTCACTTGTGTGGATTTATTTTATTTCTGTTTTCATGTCATTGCATGAAAATAAAAGTCATTAGCCAGCATAGGTTTCTAGCTTAGTTAAACATTTATTTTTCTCTTGGAAGAACTCCTAGCTGACTCATGTGACCATCTGTCAGCAACTGCTTTGGTGCGGATTAAACAACACAGACTGTAATGCAACAAGCTTTCACTCTGCACAACTGGCAACACTGAAGTCTGAAGGAGAGGCTTTGTCTGATGTAGACAGGCTCTTGGGTAACTTATAATTAATATGCATAAAAGCTGCAGAAGCCTGTGTTTTTCACAATATTTTTAATGTATTTATTTGCACATGTTTTGGCCTCTCGCCACATCTACAGCTGCCCAAGGTGGTCTGAAGCGGCCGTAGTCAGTGGCGATCAGTGTTGATGACCCGGTCAGCTCATCTGATATCGTTGCGTTGTCTTTCAGGATGTGAAGTCATTCTATAATGTCACCCGCATGCCTGCATTTCACTTTTACAAGAATAACCAGAAGGTAAGGTAAAGTGCTGGATGGAGATGTTTAGCATGTAGTAAATTTGAGCCTGGAAACAATGAGCCTTGTGCAATGACTATTATAATCTCAGTATTATTTTCAACTGGCACATATAAGATCAATGTTGCCCTAAGGATTCCCTCTTAATCTTGCACAGAAAACCTCTAAAGGCAGAGCTTTATTGTCAATACAGTAGTATACACAGTACACAGTGTACTTAAATGCTGTTTCGCCCTAGGCTCCCCATGGTGCATTTATAAATATATAAAGGATATATGGTCTCAGGATTAAAGAAACTGAGTTAAATCACATTTAAGTCAAGGTTTGGGTTGTTAGTGATAAGCCGATTGTGTCCTATTTTACAATTCATTGAGGATAAATGGAAAATTATGTCATTTTTTAAATGCCATTTTTAACTCAATGTCCTCCTCTTTCAGGTGTATGAGTTCACTGGTGCTGATGAAGCTCAACTACATCAAAAAGTGAGAGAGCTCAGATGAGATGTCCCACCAAAAACAAAATCTGTCTCACATATCTTTGATATTACTGTGTTACTCATGGCAATGAAGTCTATCCCTCACAGTCAATAATACATCCACATATCTTGTAACAGGTTAATGTCCCTGTCTTAACAACAGGCTGCAATATGAAACCGCTCAATACTTTTAATTCCATTTTTAATGACAGTTTGGCTGTGATCCTGAATTACTTTGTATGTTTTGTGTTCAAAAAGTTTAATAAATGAATTATGAATGGATTGGTATTTTGTACTTTGATAAAAATGTCAGAATAGTACAAGTATGTAGCAGCATATGTTGGAACTGGCAGTTAACAGCAGACACTGTATCGCTGGTGAACGTGATGTGTTGGTTCATTAGCGCATTTTGAAAACCAGCCAACAACTGCATGATGTAGCAAAGGTTTGGGCAATTTGCAGGAAATTGGCTCACGTCTGTGGACTGCATGCGAGAAGTTCTTGTGTTAGACCCTCCTACAGCCACTGAACTCACTTGTTCCCACTTTACACCAACAGGTTGTTGTTACTGTGCTTTTTGAGCACCAGCATTTGTGTCTTTCTTCAAATGCATGAACTGGATCTTAATTAGGTACTGGTATAATGCCAAACCAGTGGTTAAAACCAGCTTTTCAGGCTGCTGTTCTACTGTGTGTGAGTGAGCCTTTGTTTGAGCACAAGTGAGGAAGAGGACACACACACACAACGAATATCAAATTAAGATTCGAGAAATGCTTTGTGTAACACACAGATAGTCTCTACTCTAAGTGTGTCTTACACAGCCAGACGTGCAGCTATACAGTGATGAAGATACTCAACAGAAATGCAGTGAAATAGGAAAACATGAGTCTTCAGAACGAGGTCTGCAGCAGCTTTGGGCCATTTAACCTCATGCACACAAACAAAGTCAGCACAAACACATCAGGACAGCAACAGTGTGTGCAGGGAGGCAGGAAAGAGCACAAACACAACCTCTGTTCAGGGAAACTTTGCCTGGATCCAGCGTAAGTTTTTAATATCTCATATGTAAAACATCTGAAAGATCATTTGAGTTTCAGACTGCACACAGGGACTCAGTGTGGAGCCCAATCCGTGGTTTGACTTCTGCTTAAGTATCTGTACTTGTGTACAGATAAGAACGAGTCCAACATGCACCAGACAGACAGATAAACATGTATTTGTCCATTTGGTAATAATTTGAAGAGCAGCTCTGAAGTCCTCTGTGTTAGTCTGATAAATGCAACATTTCATCTTATTATAAAATAAATGTGATCAACATTTCTATTGATTTTTAACCCTTTTCTTTATTTTATGTATAGCAGTAAACTATTTTTTAGAATGACTCGCATAAAACTGGTGGGAGTCAGAATAAAGAGTCAAGAATCAGGTTCTTAAACCCTGAATAAAACTACTAAAGTCTTGCATGGCTGATTTTTTAAATACCAGATGTTTTAACATATAACAAAGATTTTTAACAAAATGTCTTAAAACAATGCCACTTGAGTATTTTTGCCTAGTTATCCAAAACAATGAGATAAGTGCACCTCAGGCTGTTACTCAGGTATGTGAAACTGCTGTGTCATCAGAAGTTGTTTTTCTTGTTAAGGGTGAGGTTGTTCCTGGATCCAGTCTACAGAAAGTATTCACACAGTTCATGATACAGAGAAAAATAAGAGTTGGTGGAACTTCCATTTACGTTGACTACCTGAAACACACAGGTAGCAAATCACCCAAAATCTTAGTAACCTAACCTGCTTCCATACAGCTGTTTTCTGTGGACTGTCTTTCACTATAGTGAGTTCTTTCTTCTCCTGCATTGTGTTGGTTTTTATACATCACATTTTATTGTCTGTGTTTACCCTGAGGTTTAAAAGACCTGTGTGTTTCACTCTGTTGCCCTTGTGAAGCACTTGCGTAACATGGATCACATTACTTAAAACATATCCCAACTTATTTGTAGCATGTCTGGAAATGTTTCTCAGCTCTGAGCGGCAGGTCACTCCTGATGTATGACTCAAAAACCAGCACATTTCAGCAAACTCAGATAAACCCAGATTAAGAGCAGCTGAGTGTGTGACTACTTGTCATAGCACAGGGCTGACAGGACTTATAAACTTATAATGTACATGAAATACACAGTGACTTAAAAGAAATCAATAAATACACAAACACTTCACCTTCCTCAGACTGCATGAGTAACTGGAACCACTCACTGTCGTCCAGTCGTTCTCTAAAAGTGAACATTAACTTTCTTAAAAGTGCTTTAAAAGTCCAAACACCCACAGCTACAAACATCTGACTGGCACTACCCCCTCTAGCTATCGTGACCACAAGGGGCCAGTATATAATAGTATGCAACAAACAAACATAAACAAAATCACTTAAACTGGAAGTGAACAAAAGCAGAATTAGTGTTAAACTGTATTTGCCTGCACATAGAGCTCACATCGTTGTCTGTATATGTCATCATCATCATTTATTTGGTCAGTATAAAGTAACCGAGGTATTTGCCCTTTTTGAAATAGAAAATGTGTTAAACCCCTGGACTAAAGAAAAAATGGTCCAAGTGGGCGATGTGCTAATTTTCAGATGGCAGGTCTACATCTAGAATCAAAATGAGCACAAACACCAACAACCAAAGTGAAGCATTAAGACAAAACATAGCAATGTCAAAAAGGATCCACACATTTGGGCCACAAAATAGATCTAAATTGACTAAAATAAGACACAAATCAGACAAAAATAGATGCAGCATGATCACAAACACACACATGTTGGCTACATATTGATGCAAAATGACTAAAATCACACGTGCAACACTTTCTACATATTTGACAGCAGAAGAAAAACACAAACAAAGTTGGAATATATTTTTAATTTAGATTTTTTTATTTCATGCCAAATTAGATATTTTAAATATCAAGCGCCAAATCACAAAGTCTCCTCCCTGTTTGTACTGTAAGGTCAAAACCCTACAGTACTACAGAGAACCCCCAACAATCAAATGATCCCCCTCTGAGCAAGCACTAGGCGACTGTGGGGAAGAAAAACTCCCTTTAACAGGAAGAAACTTCCAATGGAACCGGGCTCAGAAGGGGCGGCCATCCGCTGCGACCGGTTGGGGGGGGGGTGGAAATCAAAAAGGAGACGAGATGGTGTGAACTACAGTTGTTAAAATTTGGATTAGATGCTAAAATTCTGCTTCAAGATGTTAAAAGAAGCAGGGCAGCGGGGGAAGCCAGGATGTCATTTTAATCCTCTCTGGCTTTAGTGAACCACCTAAAGGGTTTTCGCAGAGCTTTTCCCACCGCTGAAAAAAACCTGGAAATTTTGGACTTTTTGGGAGGACTGGGGATGACTCCGAGGCGGATTTTTAGATGTTTTATCAGAGCCTCATCAAAAGACGCATCATTTGCCATCGCAGCCTTTAACACATTGTCTGGGGAGCCAAACTCCTTGATGAGGCATTTGGCTATTTTCTTGATTAACTTTTTCCTGTTATTTGTCAGACTTGTGGCGGACTCTGTGCTGATGAGTTCAGGCCGCATCAGGTCATTCACACGGTTGATGACCACGTGTAGTTCTTTTGTAGTAGATGTGGTCCTGGCAAAAAAGTTTTGAGTCTCACATTTTGATTTTTTGATGAGTCTCATCATGAGGATAATGGTGAGGTCATTGCAAATTTTCTCAGCATTAGAAGATGACACTGATACAGAACGCATCTCTGACAGGTCAGAGGAATCCTTGAGAACGCCTGAAACGCTGGCAGAGCATTTTTCTGGGGTCATGCTCCCAGATTTTGGTGTCTGAGGTGTCTGATCAGGTACCACAGAGCATTTTTCTGGGGTCATGCTCCCAGATTTTGGTGTTACAGGTAATGAAACAGATTCTCTTCCACTGCCATCTGAATCTGTGCTTTCCTTTGTTGGGGTCCTTGTTCTTTTAATAATGTTCTGGATGTCTTCCACAGTGACAGAGACCTTGTCCTCAATCATTTGATCTACGTCTTCGTTCTCCACCCAGTGTAAAAGTTTTTGTAAAAACTTTTCTACTGCGTCTTGTATGAGGACATAGAGGACTTCAGCAGAAAAGGGACGCTTAGAGCCATGTGCTGGCTGTGGAGTCCTGGAGATGGCGGTGTCTGAGAGGGATCTACCCATTAGAGGTTTGGGGATTTGATATAGTCGATCCGTCATAAGTAGATCAAACACTTTTGCCGTTAACTTCACAGTAAAATTTCTGGTTGCCTCACTGTATCTAATGTTTCCCACTGTTTTGTGGACGAGGAAGAGTTTTTTTTTCTTTGTTAATTTCTCAAATAACTCATTAACGTCTGATCTAATGTTGTCAAAGTCGACTGGAGAAGAACGTATGTAACGAAGCAGTGTGTTTCGTGAAGGGGCTCGATGAGCCTCTGTACTGTGGGACCCTGGGAGGCTGAAAGCCACACTTTCATCCGAGGGCACTGTTTCATACTTGTGGAACCTGCAAATGTTCTTTAGACAACTTTTATTACTTTTCTCAGCTCTTTTTTCATTTTTTCAAATTGTTTTGTCGCAAACATGGAAAAGCGGTGTTTGCGTGCTTTGAGCCCGGAGAGGTGGATGGCAAACATCTGGAGAAGAAGTCTTGTCCGAAAGTCTCCTTATATTTCAATCGCATCGCTATAAGTGCAGTGTTAATTTCTGCCGATAAGTTCCACTTTGTTCTTACTGTTTGCTGCGGTGATGACGTCACATGCTTTTACGACGCTCCTGCCGTATCACGAGTCCGAGGAGCACTAGCCATGTTTTTCTCCATGAGTGTGGGGGAATAGCGATCTCCAGCCGTGTGCGTTCCTGTGCAAATGTGAGTCAAAATCCCTCTGGTTCTACGAGTCTATTTCCACTTATAGCACGGGTTGTACTTTGACATTGATTACAGGGGGTTTATGCTAGGAGTTATCGAGAGTGGTAGAGGCATGTGACTTACCAC